TCTGCTGAACCAACATTTTGTTGATGATATGAAGTTATGAACCTCTTGAGGAAACAGTTTCAAAACAGACATGTAGAGTTTAGAAAGTAATATGCAATTCAATTTTATGTTTTATCATGGATAGGTTCTAAATTCATTGATTCTGTTTCTGTTGTTTGGCAATGTTCTCTTCTTTAGGTGGTTGATCTGGTTCGAAGAGCCGTTCCACTGGCACTGACTGCTGACAACGACCCTATGCGAGAGGAGTTAAAGAAACTGCAGGAGAAGAAAGAGGAAATCGATGTGTTGGCGCATAAGCAGGTGCGGCGCATCCTCTGGTCTGGACTAGGATTTGGTGTGGTTACCGTCGGCTTCTTCTTCCGGCTAACATTCTGGGAATTTTCATGGGATGTGATGGAACCAATTGCCTTTTTTACCACAACCACAGGGTTGGTTATAGGCTATGCCTACTTTTTACTAACTTCAAGAGACCCTACTTATCAAGACTTGATGAAGAGGCTCTTTCTTTCAAGGCAGAGGAAGCTGTGCAAGAGGAATAATTTTGACATTGAGAGATTCAAGGAGCTCCAGTGCAAGTGCAAAACTCCTTTACATGCTACAACTGTTTTGAAAAATCGCATAGGGGTGGAATTGGATCTTGATGATGCTTTACATAGAGACTAAAATTTTCAGGTGGTTTAAAATTCTATTCTTTTTCTAATATATTATAGTTACAATGTTCCCCTTGTTTTAATGTTTGAGGGGAGAAGATTAAACTAACTATAGTTTTGGCTTCTTGAATATAAACTTATGCCCTTAATTTTCTTGACAATGCATAAAGATTTTTCGTTCTTTTCCATTTGTTGTTGTTTTTTTTTGTTTTTTGTTTTTTTTTTATCAGTAGTAAATATTATAAAGACAACAAAAATGTTCGAATTTACAAATTTGTTTATACTATCTTAATTTTTTTACTTATAGACCGACGCTAATGATTCTTTTAATTTGTTGTTTGCTTGATACACACGTATTTCGGTTTCATCTTTGTTAGTTTTTAATTTTGTACATTGGAAGAGCAAGTGGATTAGAATGTATGAAAGTTTACTAACATATTAGAATGTACGAAATGTTTTTGACAGTGAGCTTTCATATTGTTGCTGGTGCGTTTTGATTCCACTTTTTCAGAGCAATTTGTTTCCACACTTTGGTTGTAACTTTTGGTATATATATCTCAGCTGGTCCCGAAGAAGAAAATCGCTAATTGAAAATTCGTGGTAAAGAGATACTTGGATAAGCCACATGAGCAAAGCTCAAGTCCTTTAAGAGTTTTTATGAAGTTTGTTTAAATTTACTAAAATTGATTACATTAAGGTTTTCTGAAACTTATTTTAATCCATTTTTTAAGTTAATTTTGTAAAAATATTTAGATTTATTTCAATGTTTATGATAGAATTTGTAATGTTGATTCTCATAATGAAATTTATTAAACAAGCATTTAAAAATTATGACTTATAATTTTTCTTTTATGTAATGTGACTTTGCACTGTTTATAGGGCAGAAATTGATGAAAGATGAAATTAATTTATTTGGTCAGAAATATTAGTGGGTCCACATTTTATTTTCGTTGCTCATACCAAATTTAATTGAACCCGTCTACCATTTGATTGCCTAAATGTTTTATAATCGACTTAATTTAATTGAACCTTGAAGAGGCCTTTTTAATTAATTAAGTGATATAACTATTCAATTAAATTTGTTTTAATCCGGAGTTAATATTTAATCGATTAAAAAATGTATACAATTGCTAAACAATGCAACGAATCAATGCCGCTTGAAGTGCCACTTTAATCGATAAAAGCTTAGCAATAATCAATTAAATCATGTTCCAACACCTTACTATCATTTGAATGATTCAATTAAATCTACGTTTTAATTCATCGTGTGCGGCTACCCACAATTCTTGGTCACTCCATTGTCATGTAACCCAATTAAATTTTTTAAAATGTATTAAATTATGACATTCACACACTGCACTTCACATCAATCAATTAAATATGAGTTAATCATCTATAAAATATCAATGTAAAATTTTTTTTATACAAGCAACCAATTATATCTTTTAATTATGTCATGTCACTATAAACACATTTAATTTTAACAATGACATGACACAATTAAAAGATATAATTAGTTACCAGTATAAAAAAACTTTACACTGACAGTGTATAGGTAATTAACTCATTAAATATATGTTATGACATTAGTCTAATTCATAAAGGCATAAGTGAAATTTACAATTTATTATAATTTATTTCTTCTAGCTCCTTTTAAACTAAATAACTTCACAATATTATTTTTCTTCAATTTCTCTTCTATTTATCTCAAACTAGACAATCCAAAATTTATTCTTATTCCTTATTTATTTCTCTCTTTTATTTTTCTCACTCATTTCTATCCTCCTTATCAAATTAAGTATTGGAATACAAATAAAGTTTCACATCAATAAAATCAAGAAAAGAAATAATTTATAAAACACATACATTCTTCGATGGTCAAAAAATCTTTTGAAAAATGACCAAAACTAAAATCGTGAGAACTTAATCCTAAAACAGATAATTTCATAGTATTGTGAAGTTGTGTTTAAAATAACATGATAGGAATATGAATTCGATGACAACCAATAAAATGATACATAAAGACAAATTTTGTTGAATAAGAAATTGTTTCTTATTTGAGAAGATTATTGAGATATAAATAAAGTCCCACATCAATAAAATAAGAAGAAGAAAAAATAACTAATAAAACATATGCATCAATAGTTGAGAAATGACCAAAAACAAATTCGTAAGAATTTAAACCTAATGCGAATAATATCTTACTATTGTGAAATGTGTGAAATAACATGATAAAAATATGGATTTGACAACAACCAATATTGTGAAGACTTACATTTAAAGCGAATAATATTTTACTATTGTGGAATTGTGTGTAAAATAACATTAAAAATAACAATTATAATCCTCCTTTTGATATAAATATCCCCTCAAATAAATACTGAAAAATAATCCCTAACATTAAGATGATTCAAGACACTGGCTATTCCCCCAAAAGAAATTAATTTTCCTTCCAGATTTGGATCATGCAATAACTTGTTCATTCCCCATTTGCAGCTAACATTTTAGTAAAAATGCAATAGACCATTGAAATAAATTGTTTTTTACAAGCATGCATCAACATTTTTACATAACCCTATACATGTTGCCTTTCCTATATATTGAAAAGTCACACTCAAGGCAATTTAGCAGTTCAATCACGGAATCTTCACTGGATCCATTAAAGTGCTCCAAAACATCGCTCAATGTAGCCTGAAACCAGTAAACAACACATTTTCTTATAATTATAATAATCACAGAGCAAAACATATAGATAGATATGATAAAGCTTTGCCAGAAACATAAAAAAGTCCTCACTAACCCCTTCATTAAGGTTCTTCAACCACTCTACAACAGAACTCTCTGTAGCCTTTAATTTAGTTGAATTCGCTTCCTTTGTTTCACCGACTTTTTGTCGTTTGTTTGGGAATTCCCTCTCATTGGCTAATGGAAGCTTCTGTACCTCAGAACCATTGACAGATAGAGTAGGTACCTCATTGATTTCTAAGTCGCCTTTTTCTGTTGAACTTTTGGCAGAAATGTTGTCTTCACAATGGCTTTCCACGTGGCACGTATTTAAAGTAGGATCTGACAAATTTGAAGCATTATGTGCAGGTTCATCATCTTCCCCAGTCTGCTGATTTTCAGATTGAACTGCTTCGAGGGTTATTCCACAGTTTCGCATTGACAAATAAGTCTTGATGTGCTGATAAGTTATCTGCACCAAGAAAACTTACTCAATCTCAAGCTCATGGAAGTGATAAGCAGTTCACGAGCCAGAAGCTACATATGATACTTAAGCTCCTCCTTTTTTGGTTAACCACTTACACTACATCTGTTTCATGGAAAATTTACCTTTGGATGTTCTCATTGTTTTGGGACACTCACATTTCAGTGGTTAATGAGTAATATTTACAACGTAACAAGAACTTTACATGAAGGAAAAATAGCATCAGGATGGTAAAAGTTTCTGAAACCTGGCCACACAAATCTAGCATTACAAATGCTTTGTACACTTACCTATTGCTAATGTAACCTTGTATCCACTCTCATTGGTCAATGGATAACCATATAACTATGCATGAGTCAATGATCTCAAAACCAAAGAACCAAATATGTACAAGTTAGCAGCATTTTCAAGAACAAAAAAGTACATGTAATAAATCTAAAATCATAAAGTTGAAGTCAAGGAGTATAGAGCTATAGATTGAAATATGTTGGACCATATATTTGCATCAATACCTATATGTACTCAAATCATGAAGGTAGGAAATTTGAACTCACTTCTTCTGGCAATTCATTTTTTATAGGCTTCAGCTTATCTGTAGATCCAACTTTTGAAATAGCACTTTGAATTTCTGATATGATCTCTACTGTCAGTCCTATCATCTCGCTGAATCTAACCCAATCAAAAGCTAATCCTTCTTGAGCAGCTTCCAGCAGATAATCAGCAACAGTTTGTTCTTTTATAGGAGCTGATCTACCTGGAGAGTTCTGAGATTACAAGGATAGGAGAGAAAGAGATTATACAGTGAAACATGTGAAGCACAGATATTTACTACTGACAACAGACTCTTATGACATACAGCAATCTCCTGAATAGAACGACCATCTTCATGCCACATTTTCCATGCTTCTAACTTTGCTGGTGTCAATCTTGATGATGTCAACTTTGTCGATGTCAACTCTGTTGATATCAACTTTACTGATGTCAACTTGGTTTTTTTGGTTATTGGAGATACTTTCCTTCCTTCAATAGTTTGCGAAGTTGCTTTCCCATCCAATGATAGGTTTAATCCTTGTGACAGTTTCTGAATAACTTGAAGAAAATGATCTCCATATCTCGTTACTAGGTGCTGTAGAAAGTTGTTTAATGTTAGTATTTCAAAAAACAGAGAAGTAAATGAAAAAAAAATGCTCAAGTTACGTGAAGACACATGTAGTCCAGGAAAGAAGTCATAATCATCATATTAATTTCAAAACAACCCAGAATCAGATAGTATGCCAAATAATGTTTTTTTATTAAAATAGATTTGGCTTTTATTAGAAAAAATAAAAGATAACAAAATGCATCAGTGGAGGGAAGTCTATCAAATTATATATAGCTGAATGAAAATAAGAAAGAAAATAAGTTCAGGAATACATCAGGATTGAAAATTGAGTAAATCAAGAACTTTCAGCAAAAATAAAGGGAAAAAAGTGAATCATTAAAGAATTAAATAATAAAGTAAAAACCAATGTAGGAAAGTAATAAATAATTTATGTTTACTAAAGCTATTTTGATGAGTTTCCCAAATTAAGTTAAACTCTACTGCCATTCAACTGGTTCCTGCTTATTCTTCTTGAACCAGCAGAGCTGGTCCAGATTGCAGATATCTTTAAAACACTGAAGAGCTACCTGATTCACACCATCAATGTTTGCTAATCTGGCTTTAGTGGACGGTCTTGCCAAAGCAATTTTCCTGATTGTTTGATCACCACATAGAGCATATCTACAAGGAAAGTATAATAGCTTTATGAAGAAACTATGGATTAGATAAACTAAAAGAATAGACAGCCTTCAAAGTATTAAAAAATAAAACCATACGGAGCTGTTCCAACACTTCTTGCAAGCTTCAATCTTTCTTCCAAAAGCATTTGGTAGAGCTGTCCCTCAGCCTGAGTAGAGAAGTACAACACATTTAAAATTAACAGATGAAATGTATCAAGGAAATAAATACATGTGGCTATGTCTCTTATAAACAACAATTTGAAAACAATAAGATTGCTGTTTAACTTTTTATTTTAATAATCGACTTATTTATCTTACATCTACATATAATTGTCAACACTTATCCAAGAAGCTTCATTGAGAATTAGAAGAAAAGAAAGAGAGAAAAGAAGTTGAATAAAGATAAGACTACTTCATTACCAACCTCTGAAAATCTCTCTGATTCAGAAGTGGATAAAGTTTTGAATTCTTCTTGTGTGTTTCCATTATCTTCTTCTCCAAGCATTTCAGAAGTCAATGTCAAAACCAAGGGAGGTTGATAATCTGGTCTAGAAGAGGCCAAAAATTGCTCTCCTTTTGAGCTAACACTGATTCATGAGAGAACAAAGTTTATGTCTAATTATAGCTTCAGTTGCGAAACATGCTAAAATACTGAAACTCAAAAGTTGCATAGTAGATGGGATTTGACATTGTTAAGCCCCCAATTATGAAAGTTTACAATAGAACAAATAAGAGGCCCAAATTAGAGAAGCTCAGCTCTGTTAACAAACTAGGTGAGGTGATGGACGAGGGAAACATAACATTAATAGTAGACAGGGGGAGAATAAACAGAGAGTTGGAAGGGAATAAGGCAGATTTTGGGAGTTGTTAGAATCGTGTTGGAGAGGAGGGACTCTTGAAATCCCTATCATAATTCAGTGTAATTCTTTCCTTCTCGAGGAGTCATTGTTCCAGGAAGATTTCAGTGCAATAAATACTTTTTTCATTCTATCTTCTGGTTACAGATTTTGAACATCCATAGACTTCAAATAACTACTGCAATCTACTAAATAACTTGAAGAATCTACCTTATAGTTCTGTACGTGTCACTAACAATCTCCTTCAAATAACCTGTAGAACATTAGGAGTCAACTATAAATTGCATCTAGATTTTTTCTTTTAATTGAAGTTATGGTATAAAATAAAGTCTCATTTTTTTATGCAAATTGTGAAGTATTTCAAATGTAAGTATACTGCAGCAAGAAATGAACTACAGTTACTAAATAAAGAAATGCATGAAGAATTGATTATGTAGGAAAACTAAAGAAAATGCTAATTATATTTCAAACGTTCTTTTTCCCTTAGAATAGATGTATGTTGATACTGCTACTAGGTCACAAAAGCTCTGGTTGAAGCAAGAAGGGAACCCACACCCTCTGTGGGTTGATTGAAAATAAAGTGGTCTCTTGCCATTATAAAAAATTCACTCAGGTAATCAGACAAAAAAAATAGAAAGTGGCAATCCAATCATGCCCAAGATTTTGAAAATTACTACAAGAGTTAGCGAACAAGCCAACAAGGTAGTAAAATTTAACAGAAAGTGGCAAACTTGAATTCATTTTCTCAACCCAATGAAATAATTTATACAGCACACAATGTACAAAGTTAAAACTGCCTTCTAATAATTCAAATTCCCAAGAAAGACAGAGGCAACTCAGACAGAGCAACAGCAAATGCAATTGCTCTACAGAATTCAAACTATCCCTGAAGCAAGAATGTCAATTGACAGAACTATTTGATCGTAAGTCATGACTGTAACTAGGAAAATTATTTCCTCTCAAAATACCTTGAAAAATCAATTGATGTCCAAGTGCTTTCCACCAATTTGCTGGATAATTTTTCCCCAGTCCATGAAGTGGAAGCTTGTCAAACTGAACTTGAAGAATTTTCTTGGCCTACAAGTCACAAGCAAATACAACTATAAGTAGTTGGAAGGACATAATTAATGGCAATGATAAAGGTTAAATCAAGGTTATTGATGACGGATAACGGTCTATGGCGATGAGGCCAAAAATCCTTTATAACTCTATGGCGGATGCCATGGCGGCCTATGGCAGGCAAAAAAAAAAAAATAATAATAATAATATTTTTATATATTATATACAAAGAAAACAGCAAAACAATAAATAACAAGTAACAAAACTAAATTAAAAGCAACATAATATCAACTTAAATACTAAAATATCATAACAACAATACCATAATTCATTAAGTCTCTTAACATAATTGATTAAAACACAATAAAAAAACACAGAAAAACAAAAGTACAAGAAGCATTTTGCTAATCTAATCATCCTCCTCCTCATCATCATTCTCTTCCTCTTCCTCAATGTAATCATTCTCTTCATAAAATAGGAACAATAATAAAATAGGAACTCAATATTAGTTTAGAATTTATATAAAAAAAAATATAAATTTAAATTGACCCAATTAGTAGAAGAATTAAGATTAAAAAAAATTCTTGTTGCAGACGCAGCAACCAGCTCATTAAAAATTAAGAAAGGACTCAAAGGAGTAGGAAAAAGTAAAGGAAGAAGGAGGATTAAAACTGGAGAAAAAAAAACTGAGGTTTTAACTTGCTGGAGTTGCTCGCTGGAGTTATTCGCCGGAGTGCAAGACCACCATGATTCAGGTTGCCGGCCAGAAATGTGACCAAGGGGTGGTGGGCGACGGTGAACGACGGTGATCAAAGGTGGTTTTGAATTTCGTAGGTCCTGTTCATGTGCGCGTTGTGGTTCAGGTCATTGGAGTCGTGGACCACCGCGGTTCAGGTCGCTGGTCGGAGAGGTGACCGGCGAGTGGTGGGCGATGGCGGAGGGACGTCACCGGAGACGGCTTAAAGGTAGATGAGCTGCGTTTGGGTGGGTGGCTGGCGTAGCTTCTCATTCTTGAACCCTAAAACCGTTAGGGCATACTTGTTGGGCCTAGTTTGAAGCCCAAAACTGGCCCCAAACCCGTTATGCCCGCTATCACCTTTATAGCGTTATGGGTCAAAACGGAAATGGCGGCTGCCACGGCAGAAATGGCGGACGATGCCACAAAACTCCATTTTGCGGATGGCGAATGGCGGCGAGGCCCAAAACCGCCCCGCCATACCGTTATAACGGTTTTTTGATAACCTTAATGATAAATGAAAACCTAAATGATACTTATACTTTTAGAGTATATCAAGTAGAAGGTACTTTTAAAGCAATGCATTAACCAGAGGCAGTAAAAAGGTGAAAAATTGCTACATTCAAAATCTGTTTGGGTACTCAAGGATGAATATATTCATTTACCATGCTAAATCTGAGTCAATATGCAGTAAGGCTTCAATGATTGACACCAATAATTAGTTGAAAACTTGAAATACAGGGTTTATAGCTCTTTACATAGCAACCTTGTGACTACAAGCAAAGGAGTGTCTTTTGTGCAATAGAATAAATGTAATCTTCATTATATTTGAACACTTTTAGGATCATATTATTAAGTCATGACCATGGTTAGTTAAAGAATCTAAATTTAGAGCATCCGAAATCAAACTTCCATCAGTGGATGAAAGATGCAATGGTGCTTTCTTTTCTTCTTTATGCAACTGTAAAGTTCATGATTGTCAATCAGTGTTAGAAACTCAAAATCATCACTTGAATACTCTTTTCAATTCTGTAGACCTAGTTAATCTCCCATCCTTAGACCTATCATGACAATAAAATCCCAAATTTTCTCCCATCAATCAGTTCTTAATTAGGGCAGCAAACTGACTTCTGCAGCTTCATTATTAAAATATTATACCCAAATTTGACCTCTATGTATAATTTCAATTCTTTTTCTAAAACACCTATTGATGCTAAACTAGATGAAAATAGACAGACATAACCATACTCAAGAAGGACAATAAGTAAAATAAACCATAACTATCAAGTAAGGCTGAAAAAGCTAAACAACCTAAATGTAAAAACCAACTCAGAAAGGCGACAATAAAAAATTAAGAATCTACTTATTGTAAACAAGTGACAGTAACCACAGAAAAAAAAATTTTAGTAGAAACTCAAGGATAATAATCATGGCAATAGATAAAATGGGGATTGGGGAGTGCATGATAAATAAAAGAACAAGACACTAATGCTACCAAACAATAACTCAAAAAGTGAATGAATTCCTTATAAATGAAACTAAAATGTTTCCTAGTTTTGATTTTGAACTTACTCGTGACCCTCGCAAAACATCAATGGGCATATTAAGGCCCCAATGGCCCCTGCATGAATGAATGCAAGCCATTAGAAGAAACGCTTCTTTTGACATGTCACGCTCTTTCTTTGTGACTTTGCAATTATCGCAGTTCCCTACAAGGCACATATCATTAAAAAGAAAACAGAAAATTAGAGTAAACTAAACAAGAAAAATGAGTTTAAGGCAAGATTATCACTGGTTTTGTCAACCTGTTCAGTTAGCTGATATATTTAGCAAGTTCCTATAATAGCCTAGATTTGACTTTATTTGTAACAAGCTTGGGTGCATATGACATACATGATCCACCTTGAGGGGGAGTATTAGGATTATAAACATACTATTACCCTCATTCAGTAAAGGCATTGAAATAACAATGTCTGGTTATTAACTTAAGCTCTAACTTTACAAGTGGACAATTGTAGTAAAGCAACCAAGTGAAAGACAAACCGCATCTGTCAGCTGAAACTTTTTCCCCAAAGTATTCAAGCAAGAACTTTCTTCTGCAAGTTGTCTGCACACAATAGCGTTCGGCAGCCAGCAATGACTCCATAACAGCTTTTCTTTGGTTTTCCTGGTGCATTGGAGATTCACATACTATTAAGAGAACAGGGATAACTTGTCTGGGGAAAATATGCAAGAAGTCAGCAACTCCAATGCTCATTTAACCACAAAAAATCATTAGCTTAGCTATATATTTTTTTTCTCTGATAAATACAAATATACATACTGATTTTAAATCTCCACAATAAAAGTCTCCCTTTGCAAAGTCACTTCTTGTGTAATAGAGCCAACAAACAGAAGCTATACCATCTCTACCACATCGTCCACTTTCCTGGTAGTAGGACTCTAGACTCTTAGGGCAACCATAGTGAATCACTTGTCTTATGTTAGGTTTATCTATGCCCATGCCAAAGGCAACGGTAGCCACCATGATTTGCAGTTCATCTCTAACAAATAATCTGAATAAAATAGCACAGTTCAGTTAGGTTTAAAAAGCATTGAAGTATCTTCAACATTAGAGAGAGAACAGGAGTGAGGGAAGGAGCATGCTCCACCTTCACAATATCAGAGGTGAAATTCCATTTCATGTTCTACAATAAGAAAGAATATTCACCTATGAGACTCCTCTCGAGCTTTTCCATTCATTTGGCCATGGTACATTCCTGCTTCAATGCCTGCT